TCTGTGTGTGTGTGTGTGTGTTATCCCTGTTTGTTTCCAGCATTCTCTGCTCAGCTGCCTGTTGTGACCCGCATTAGCAGATAATGGAAGATAATTAGATTGGCATAAAACTTCCTTCCCCTCAGTCTAACATCTCCCTGTGTCCTCCACCATCTCTAACCATGGCAGGGACACTTTCCTACATTCCCCCACAATCACAGCTTTTCTTTCCACATGTCCATGCACACAAACCATGGTCCGCAGTGACCCTGGCTCTGTAGTGATGTGTGTAACTTTCTCAGCCTCGATCACCTTGTTTGTTTTGACCTGTCTGCACAGATCCACTGCACACCCGGATCCACTTAAAATACCAGGCCTGATGCTGGAGATTACTCTCCCTGACTGCCAGCTCTGTAACCTTCAGACCGTTCCCTTTAAAATAATGAGACGATTGTCTCTACCCAGGCCTGGGCAGTGAAGCAGTATCAGTAATTATGGCAGGATAATTGTCATCAGTAACATTATAACCTTGATATGTTTCGCATGCAATGTTCTTGGGGAGAACACATTATCGCAAAAGTTTATCAAGCCAAATGTATTGATAAGGCACGTATAAAAACAAGCAGAGTTGACCAAAGTGCTGAACAATAAAAGAGGAGACGATGCAAAATGCTAGAAAAGATGAAATAAAAATGTGAATTAAAAAACGACTCTAGATGAAGATGGGCGTTCTTCAGTTTTGTCTTAAATGTGTCGACAGAAGTGGATTTCAAAGTGACTGACATAGAAAATTTAAAACCACAATCTTCACTCCATACACTTTGAAAAGAAATAATGTCATTCTGACAATTGGCAACATTGTCTTGATATGAATTTATATCCAGACATATTTCAAACTTGGCTTTTCAGAGATATATTCTTAAACTCACACCTTCAGCTGATTTATTATTGTGTCCCCCCCCCCCAATCTGCATTCCTGAGCTGTGCCCTTGTATGGGAGAGAAAGGGTCACCCCCCCACACCCCAACACCCCCACCACTCTCCCCCAAAGTCTCCACAGAACAACATGTCCCGGCCGTAAAGAAAAACGTGTCTGTTTCCTGTGTGTTACCTTGACTGTGGAGGGTGGCTGGGTGGGGCAGGGGTCTTAAAGAGATGCTTACTTGAGTGGTATTTCCTGCCACCGGTGACGTAGCTGTGAAATGCTAGGCATTTGCACTTCTCCTCAGAATCCCCCCTCCTTCCCCACTCCTCCTTTTTTTTTTTTTTTATCCTCCGTAAAACTCATACATGCAGACGTCTACCTGCAATAAGTGTGGACACTGAGCTTAAAGCTGCAGTATAAATCTTTTTTCTAAGTGTCCCCCCACCGCCTTATGCTCATTCATCGGGGCAACACACACACGCACTCCTGCCCCCCTCCCTCGCTGCCTCTGTCTGCTCTTTTTATCTGAGCACCGCAGAACAAATTCCTGGTGTTCAGCTTGTCTCTGTAAATTACATCTGTAGACTTCTTTGTGGGCAATTAAAACAGGCCAATATTGTTTTTTAATAAGGGGATAACCAAACGAAGGAAATGTAATTAGAAGACAGAAATTCCTTCAGACTGCAACCAGCTGTGAGTTGAGTGTGGCCGACTTCTATGGATCTAGTAGGTCAAGCTCTGCGGTTCAGTCTCTTTCACTCGAGGGAACACAGGGAGATTGTTGGCTGGTGGAGAGTTTGCACGCAGCACATTCTGACACCTGATCCTAAACAGCAGGAGAAGAAATGTCGATCTTACTGACTTTTTTTCCCCCTTCGTCTCATTTCTGCTCTCCAGGCTGAGCTGCTGTTTACGTGATCACAATCCTCCTCCTAAATGGCGTCTTTCAGAGCCAGTGTTTGGGTTTCTTGCACTTTCTTACACCTATGTCATTCAACCAAAACAGGATATAAATCAAGCTCAGACCTGAACAGTGATACCTTCACTATAGAGTCTATCTTTGTGCCATGTTTAGCCCTGTTAAACTCACCCCCCCTCACTCTTTTCAGCTACGGCCTTCCTGTGCAGAATTCTGCAGTTTACCAAACAGGATATCCTTCTGTGTGTGTGTGTGTGTGTGTGTGTGTGCGCGTGTGTGTTGGGTCGTGTCAGTGTCACCTTATTTATGAGGGCTGGATAAGACAAAACCCACTCTGTAGACATAGCTCACTATACTGAAACTCAGAGGTGACCATGAAACAAGATTTCTTGCAGTCATAACACTCTTCTGAGGACCAGTGTTAATGATATGTGATATATATTTAAAAAAAAAAACTTCTGTCGTTATAGATGCAGCTTTGTTATCAGCATCTTTATGTCATTTGTGCGAGTGGGAGGTCAATGTGGGCAGGAAGGAACAAAAATAAGACCTTGACAAAAAGAAAGCGTTAACTGTTTAACAAACCAGCTCTCTTTCCCACCAGATCGCTCAGAAGTATGACCTTCAGAAAGAAGAGGAGCTGAGGAGCTGGATCGAGGAGGTTACCGGCGAATCCATCGGTCCTGACTTCCAGAAAGGCCTGAAGGACGGAGTCATTCTGTGCAAGTAAGCAGAGATCATCCACTTGTTGGATAACACGAGCACCTTAATCTGCTGGTTTGATATGTACAGTGGTTTAGAGAACTTGAATCTTTTCCGTTTCAGACTTATCAACACACTTCAACCAGGCTCAGTGAAAAAGATCAACCACTCAGCGCTGAACTGGCCTCAGGTGAGTAAGAGGATGATAAATGCTTTCTAACAAAATTAAATGGTGGTTAAATCATGCTTATTGTTTCCGACTGACATCAGTTTGTGCTCTTTGGTACCACCGGTTCTCACACCGGTGATTTTTTGACACACTATGTCATTAACAAATGGCTCTCTGTGCTGTTGTATTGTGTTTAACATGTGTTCTACCAGTTAGCATGTGAGCACGCTGAATCATGCTGGCTAATAATTGTACTTGTATGGTGGCAGTGATTCATTTGAACTGGTTTCTTCACTGAGGTGTAACCAGTCACTGCAAACACACTCCCATATTCGAGACTGCAAACTTGTTTTTACAGATTAGTGACTGGTAAAGTGATAGTTCACAAACAGAAAACAAATCCTACATCTGTCGTTATAAATCTTTTTTTAAACAATGTTGCTGATCGTCTTCAAATTGGTGCGGTTTTAAGATGGAGAATCTGACGAACTTCATCAAAGCCATCACCGTGTACAACCTGAAGCCTCATGACCTCTTCGAATGCAACGACCTGTTTGAGTGCGGCAACATGACGCAGGTGCAGACGACGCTGCTCGCACTGGCCAGCATGGTGAGTCTTAAATATGAACGCACTTACAGTAATGTTTTCTTATCACCTGTGTGTGTGTGTGTGTGTGGTTTTACAAAGTCCACACTGACAACTGGCTCTACTTTATTCTCTTTTAAGGCCAAGACCAAGGGCTGCAACTCACGGGTGGACATCGGGGTGAAGTACGCAGACAAGCAGGAGAGGATGTTTGATGAGGAGAAGATGAAGGCTGGACAGTGCGTCATTGGCCTGCAGGTACACGTTTGTTTGCAGGCTTGTTCATGTACAGAGTCCAGATTTAGATCTGAGACTAACTCAAACCAGCAGAAACTGAAGGATGTGGACCGTAAATCTTCGGTATCACATGACTGAAGTTGATGTTGGTACAGGTACAGGTTTGACAGTTATATTCAAGGCTGCAGAAGACAAATTAATCCAGTGAGACGGAACAAACTTGTTCTTACTTTGTGAGAATTGGCATTCCACAGAAAACTGTTGTGAAACTAGAGTTTGTCATGTTCCAAATCAGGCACAGCATACTTCTCTGTGAGAGCTGCTCATTGTTCTCACAGCCTCTTAAGTTGCTCGGTTTTGTTATTGTTTCGGTCAGTGTCAGGTAGATATGAGAGGTACTTACACGCAGGAGAAAGGAGACAATACGACTCACTGTTTAAAGGCGAGGACAGGTGACTGTAACGTCAAAAGCATTTGCTTGTCTAAATTACACTGATGTTATGCAATATTTTACCACTGTTGTGTGCAAGAGCAGCCAGGGTGACAGCGGGCCTGTAAAATGTGAAAATATTTGTTTTCATGAACAAATGCCTTTTAAAAAAAGATCTTAATTTCAGATTGGATGGGTCATAATTTCATAAGTTCTGATACCTGCTGCATCACTAGTCTGCCTGTGTATAACTTAATGCACTCAACTTATGCCTTTATAGCCAGCCTGCTAGCTAGGGTTTTGCAACATGTTGAAATGCAAGTTTTTGCGATAAGTAGCTTTAGAATAAAAGTACTCATGTTCGTTGAAGCGGGTACATGCAGGTATTTGGAAACACAGGACGATTGACTCCTTTCTCACTGCTTGTTGTGTAGTAGAATTGCCTTTCTGCATTTTTTCCCCTGTTGAGTCATGTTTGACCACATGAAATGGAGAAGCTCTCTTGCGTCTTTAATTGATAGAAAGATAAAAGTCGCTGTACACAAACATTCATGTTATTTCCACGCCAGTGCCTGGTGCAGCGTCGGTGTCTAGGCAACCAAAATAAAGAACCTTGGCATCATGTTTCCATCGCTGCTGATGGGTGCTGAAAAGTAATGAATGTAGTTTGTATCTTTTCCCATTAAAGACAAGTCAGATGTTTGACCTTTTTAACCAGTGGAAGAGGGGGCTTAACAGAATGTGTTTCCATGTATACTTTCACTTTTGTTTTTTATTTCCATCGTTTGGTCTTGAATTTCATTTCAGTTGGAATTGAAAAGGTCCTGTAGTTGAGTTGTTTTATGGCTCTAGACACAGTTTGCAAGTGTTATGTTAATTAATTGTTTTAAAAAATATATTTATTGCAATGCTTTTTTGTTCTTTAGATGGGGACCAACAAGTGTGCCAGTCAGGCAGGTATGAATGCATACGGCACCAGGAGGCACTTATATAACCCTAAAAATCAAATCCAGCCGCCCATGGACAACACAACCATCAGTCTGCAAATGGGAACCAACAAGGGGGCGAGCCAGGTACATTTTCCTACCCTCTCATAAAGTCAGTATTATTGGACTGCAGTGGAAACAAGCCCCAGGGAACCACTGTTATTGTCCTCTCATCGCTGTAAACATGTATCATGTCTGGTCTTGTAGAACAAGCTTTAAACTCCTGGGTTATATACGTCAAGACTGAGCTCAGTGATATCTTCACTTCCGAAAGCTTTTACAGGAACACGTTGCTCATTTTCGTCCTGTGTCTTTACAGGCTGGGATGACGGCTCCAGGGACAAGGCGTGCCATTTATGACCAGAAGCTGGGCACAGACAAGTGTGACAACAGCACCATGTCCCTACAGATGGGCTACAGCCAGGGAGCCAGCCAGAGCGGACAGAACTTCGGGCTGGGCCGGCAGATCTATGACAAAAAGTACTGTCCTAATGCCGGAGAGGTTGCCAGTGATCAAAACGGGGCAGGCGTCGCCCAAAACTACAACCCAGAATTCCAAGACGAGGGTTACCAAGGTTACCAGGAAGAGGAGCAGGTGTACCAACCAGAGGATGGGACAGATTACTAGGAGGAAGGAGAAAGCTGAGGAAGGGAAGGTGCGATTGTATAAAGAAGGCGAGTTGTGCAACAGGACCTCGAGGCAGGTGGTTTAATTTTTATATCAACAGGATGTTGCACCTTCTTTTTGGGGTCATATCCTTTGAGTATTGTATGAAATTGTCTTCTTATCATTGTGCAAGACCAGTGTCACACATATCATGAGCTGTATTTCTGTGGGGATTTTTGTTTTGTTTTTAAAAAAAAAATGTATTTAAAGTGACCACAGAAGCCAATCTTCTTGGAAGAGCTAGTTTTCTATCCCAGGGATTTTTTTATGTGCCAAAGCCACACCAGCCCTTTGTTGCTATGGTATTTGTTAACTCATTAGTTCCAATAAGGGAGATCTCTGGGTTATTTGTTAAGGGCAATATGAAACTAAAAGTGAATTATTATTTTTAATGTTTTTTGGAAACATGTTATTTCGATCAAAACACCCATAAATGTGCTAAACTATAATAACTGTTACATCTGTAAACATCAACTTATTTGTGTAATAATGAAAATGCCCATTGATATGTACGAGCTTCTTCTTCATTCCTTCAGTATTGATCGTAGACATATGCAGTAGTACACAGCTATGGTTGTCCAGATAGACAAGGGACCAAACTATTTTTAACAAGCCAGTGCTATCATCTTATATTCCGTCTCCTTCTCTCACTCATTTCAACAGGTTTTTTTCTTTCTTTCTTTAATGGAGGAAATATTTCCTCTGTTTGCATAACCAGTCAGACTGGAGCTGAGCATGTTTCTTTTGGATTGAGGTCGATGCAGTGGGGGAGTAGATAAAATAATACTCCAGTGAAGTTTTGAACATTCCAAGCAAGAATGTCTAAAATCATTCTTGAAAATTGGTTGATTTGCAAACCAATCATGATTTATATTTGATCATTAAGATCGTTATTATTTGTGATTTGAATAACTTTGTATCGGACTTTACTTTTTCCTCTGGAATAACTTTTATGCCCGTGGAAAAAAAAACCATGTTTGAACTGAGAACAATGTTGAATATGTGAATACGTTGTAATAAAATATGTGTATTCATTATCTGGTGTCAGTTTGATTTGGAGAAAAAGCACTAAGGACTGTGATGAATTTCTGTGTCCATAATGATATAGTTGATTATGGAGGAAAATTTATTTTGGGCAGTTCTGAGGCTGCACCATTTAAGTAATACTGCACACAGTTGTGTAATACTGCAGGTGTTAATCATGAAAGTGTGTGTGTGTGTGTGTGTTATGAATGGATTAAATGCGTAAGTCAAATTTCCTGTGTGTTTTAAATATACCTGGACAAAAAAGGATTCTTGCTCTTGAGGCATCAGTGTGCATTTCACTTTCGTAACTGATGGAGGTAGTTCATAAAAAGTCAGACATTTTAGTAAAGTGGTCACAAGATAAATCTAATGGGTTGTGAAATGAATAAACAGGAAAATTAAATACAAATCTTTTGCGCACGTCTGTATATTTATTATTTTTCATTGAATGAAACCATGTGAGAACTTTAGAGAGGGCTTTATTATATAATCCCCTCAAATATATTGATGTTAATTTAAAACAAGATAAATGTAAATATGGGGAGTAAAAAGTAAAATACCCTCACCACCACATAAAATGAACAGAAGTGTTAACTAGCATCAAACTGAAATACATAAACAAGTACAAGTATCTCTAAAGTGTAAGTATAGTGCTTGGGTAATTGTTCTGTACTTTCCACTTAAAGGTACAGTGTGTAGAATTTTGTGATGTCTAGTGTTGAAATTGCATGTTGCAGCTGAACACCCCTCACCTCACCCTCTCCTTTCGAACATGAAAAAGAAACTGTGGTAGCCTTTAGTTGCTATAAAAACTCAAAAGGTGTTTAGTTTGTCCAGTCTGGACTCATGTAAAAAATACGGTGGCGTCCATAAAGAGGGTCCCCTCGATGTAAATATGAAGTATTTCAATATAAAGGACCTTTCCTGGGCTAAAGAAAACTACAATTCATACAATTTAGATGAAATGAACTAGTGAAAACATCATGAGGATAATTCTACATTAAATTTCTACCAATAGTTCCCTTTCACCTAAATCTTACACACTGGACCTTTAAGGGTCTTTGTTGCTTTAGTTTATTTCTTATATGACCCGCCCCCTTTCATATAAATAACACAACATATTGAACTTTCTTTTCACAAATCAATTTTTCATGGATCAATAGCCACCAGCATCCCAAAAATAAGTTCATCCACTCTCATTAGGTTATTTATGAATTGTCTTGAGTCATATCTGACAAAGTGTTTCTAGTTTCCTCCTGAGGAGCAGAAGTGAGACTGAAGTGTCATCTGCAGAATCAGAAGTGGAATCCGGACACGTCGGTAGAAACATGACACTTCTCAGGAACTGCACGTAGTTTGATGTAAGAGCGCCACCTGCTGCTCACTGAGGGAGCTGACGCCGGAAGACGCCACCGGATGTTGTGTGTTAAATCCCGCGATATGAAGCCTGACGGGATTTGAGCCCGTTCTTTCCCCCCGGAACTCCAGGCAAGATGGTAGGTGTCTGACTGATAGTGAGGCTTGTAGAATAAAATCTACATGCATCTGAGCTTTAGAGCGGATAGTTAAGATGTCTGACTATGTCTCCGGACAGTTACAGACCCACTCTCACTGTTTAGTGGAAAATTGTTCCCCAAAAATATCAGATAAACATGTTTGTAGGCTCCGTGTTAGCCTGAGCTGTGGCTAAGCTAACCCGGTGGTTCTACGTAGTCTGAACTAATGGTTCCAATCGACCCGTGTGTATAATGCTCCTCTGATATTAAACACCACCAACGCTACATTTTATTATGGTCACGGTGCGGCCACGAGCGGACTGTTAGCTCCGTGGTGTGAATGCTAACTGTGGGAGCTACATTCTGACCCAGAGCCATGTCTGTCTCTTCCAGGCGGATACCGAGATCAAGAAGAAGCGTACCTTCAGGAAGTTCACCTACAGAGGTGTGGATCTGGACCAGCTCCTGGACATGTCCTAGTGAGTGACACGATTCTGATCTGGGGTCAGCTGCAGCCACAGTGCATCCGTCGCACTGGTTACATAAAGTCAATTGTGCTGGTTTGTAGTGAGAAGCTAAAGTTGGTTTGAGTCACTTAATAAACTCAATAACAGGCAAAATGTTTTTGCAGAAATGGCCTTGTCCTTTTTCTCCATTTGTAAAACCTGTAACTCAGGTCGTGCAACTTGATAAACTCGTGAGTTTATATTATTGTAGCAGCTGAAACTGCCACAATCTTTATCTTGTAATCCTCCTTTTATTGCAACAGATTTTCATCTAGTGTGTTTCAAAGTAGATCAATCCAAATGTTTGCTGAGACTCATATAAAATATACGTTGGCCGACCTTTTAGTTGTACGTCATAAACCTTCGACAATGATGTCGTAATCCTCCGACAGTGATGTCATTATCAGCACAGAGAAAATCCCAGGATTAGTCTGTTTTTTTTCTTTTACAGATGAGCTCATTATATAGTTCTCTATATAGTAGTCACTGTTTAGTGGCGTAGGGAGTAGTTGGTGATGGATGATTTCAGACACAACCCTAGTGTTTATAGAAGTTGGCACATGCTTGCTGATACAAGAATCTGCTGTCAATCCCCAAACCACTTGTCTCAGTTCAGGGGCCGCATCCTTCGGAGGCTGCATTTGAAGGTGGATTGCCTCAAAGTGACTTGACTAGTCTTGACTTCAAAGGCTCGTTTAAATATGGCTCTCAAATACTTCTTCACTTCCCCAAGTGAATGATAGATCTCCAGTGGATCAATCTGGGGCCAATCCATCAAAATTCATTGCAGACCATGGACTAAGCTAACAGGCTAGTTATCTGGGTGGGTGAGGGTCAAGTGGCTCAAAATGGCTTACAATACAATGAGAGCAGGACAAACTAATGACACAAATTGGAAATCATCTATGACCAGATTATCAACTTGACCCACTTCTTCCTGGCCAGACTTCATTCTCAAAAAGAGACGGCCTGTTTGTCACAAGTGATTTAAATTTTGTTAAAGGCGTGTTTGGGTGTAATTGGCATCACTGTCTTCTCATCCTCTAGTGAGCAGCTGATGCAGCTGTACTGCGCCCGCCAGAGGAGGAGGCTTAACCGTGGCCTGCGTCGTAAGCAGCAGTCCCTCCTGAAGCGCCTGCGCAAGGCAAAGAAGGAGGCTCCTCCCATGGAGAAACCCGAGGTGGTGAAGACCCATCTGAGGGACATGGTCATCCTGCCTGAGATGGTCGGGTCCATGGTTGGCGTGTACAACGGCAAAACTTTCAACCAGGTTGAAATCAAGGTGAGGGTGCTGTTGGTTAGGAGGCAGCGAGAGCAAGTGTGTAACCTGGGACTCTAATGAATCAACATATCTGTTAATTGTGTTCTGAAGACGATGCGTCTTCAATTTACATTAGAGTTAAACATATAACGCACCTGTCTGCACAGAGAAACAGGCAGGCCCTGTGCATAGGGTACGTGCATTCCTACAGCAATGCTGCGGTGCAGAACAATGAGTCGGCCTTAAGCTAAAATCATTATCAAGAACTTAATAGTGATTCCCGTTCAGTTTTCATTGTGACTGGGGTCTTTATAGGAATCCAGTCTGTTCTCTTGTTTCTCAGAGCTTCAACAGTCATTTAAAATTACATTAACATTTTAGAACCATGGCTCGTGGTTGCTGAATATGACGAGGCATATAAATCTCATTCCAGACAAATGAGGCAATAATGGCTGCTGTAGAGCACTATAGAGCTGGAAAAGAACACTGAAATTAAATCACTCAAATTGATACAGATGTTATATTCGGCTAATTTTAAGTGAACCCTCTCTGTCCTTGTGTTCAGTGCGAATTATCTTACAGAATTTCTCAATCATACTATCTTAAATTCTGAGCCATCCTTTTCTCCGAAATGTCTCCACCTAAAAATATGTCAAATATCAGAGCTGCATGCACTCAAGACTGTGTAATAGAAAAGTGAATACACAATTATTTATTTAATCAATGCAGGAAGAATTAAGCTGTGTTCATAGTCATTGCCTATAGGAACATGCAGGCTAACGCATCTCATCCTGACTTCTAGTTGTAGATTCACATAATTTAAATCCTGCTTAAACTACACAGAATCACTGAAACTTGTTAAATAGACTAGTCTATTATCAGCAGCTATTAAATCACAACATGCTGTTTGATCACCACTCGTATTACAGGACTTACTGAAATGTATATTTTTTATCTCCGATTTTGATTTTTTTTTTTTTTTTCTCTGCCTTTGTGCAACCTTGTTGCACCTCACAAGGGTAGTCCAAAGTCTAATGAGATAGTGAGCAATTATGGTTTATTTTTTTTTTTTCTCCCCTCCACAGCCTGAGATGTGCGGTCACTACCTGGGCGAGTTCTCCATCACCTACAAGCCAGTCAAGCACGGTCGCCCCGGTATTGGAGCCACACACTCTTCTCGTTTCATCCCTCTGAAGTAGAATGGCTGTATTTGTATAAATAAAACAAAACTGGGTTCTCCACACAACTTGTCTGCTTTGCTTTCTTTTGCACAACGTTTCATAATAAAACCTCACAAGGTCTTTTCAATTTCCAGTGTTGAACATGTTGAGGTGTCTTGACAGTGGGTGGTTCAATAACAATACACAGAATGAGTGGTTCTTTGTAAGGTTAAGATTTGTACTGGACAACTTGTACACTTTACATTCAGTAAATCTACCTGTGAAAATAGATTGACTTGTAGTTTACAATATCTTAAAATCCAACTACATCATAGGATTTAATACTTTGGCTTGACCAGAAAATAATTCAAATCCTTGCTGTGTTTGGGGAGTATCCACGTATCATTGACTGAAGATGGTCCAGTGGTTAATCTGGGTCATTGAACTAAGACGTGTGTCAGAAGTCATGAAATACAGGAGTCGATGGGGGTCTTAATTCACAATCAATGGTCATGCAGCGTCCGGCCACAGGCGGCGCAGCACTGACCGTCACTGACTCCTCATCAGAGCGGCGGTGCAGCCATGAAAACGTCCCGGAGTGCACCGTGACCATATCCAAGGTTCCTCCCTTCGCTCCGAACGCCAGTAACATTTTGTGTGGCCGCTGAGGGCCATGGATTCAACCTTTAGCAACTGTAAAATCTGTTTATTGACACCAAGCTAGTACAGCCTACACACCGGGGAAACGATCAGCGGCCAGGTCGGTAAGTGTTCTCTTTAATTTCAGTTTGTGTCACGGGGAGGGTCGCGTGAGCGTCTGGGTTTTATTCCCCATCAGCAAAGCAGAAACCGCTAGCTAGAGGCCGTGTAGCATTATCTGGCTAGGTTAGCCAGTTAGCTTCAGAGCGAAAATGACAGAAGAGAGCTGTCATGTCAAAATGTGAACAAGCTAGATTTAAACAACCCACTCGTTCACAGCTGTCATCATCGTTCAATTCGCGCCTTGTTTATTCACTGTCACATGTAACGCTGGTGTCGTTAGCATCGTTAACACCAATGGATTTGCCGGTGTTTTCCTCCAGTGTGACTGAATAGTTGCAATCGGAGAACAAAGCTCTGTTGTAGGCTAGCTGACTGTGAACATTAACGGTATCTGTAGCTTAAACTTCACCAGATTTCTTCCCCCACCCTGGAAAAACAAAGGATTCTAGAGGCTCTCGAATAAGCAGCTGAAGCAAACGGGGCCTTTCCCTGTGTAACGTTACAAGCTGCTGTTGCAATTATTTCCATTTTAACACATTTACACGACAACACTGAAACCAATGTGAGTTCAGTGGAAATGTTTAGGGGAGTCTTCAGCAGGAGACCTTTATACTTCCTGTGGATGAGACAGATTACGAGTAGGATCTAGATTTGGGAGATCTCCATTCATAAATACTCCTCCACCAGCCCACGCCTTGTACGCAGGTAGCTCAACTACTGTTTATACTGGGCTGTGTGTTGTGTGAGCGACTGTTTCTCCTACACAGACTTAAGTGTCACCCACTTTCCCAACACCAACATCAGGAATGAACTCCAGTCGTTTACAGCATATGATGTTTTCCCCCCACTGCTGTTTACACAACACTGATCCCTCAACCAGCATGGATTAGAAAGGAAGGCATGTGTGTTATCACCTGCTGCTCAGTTGTAAATATCAGTCGTTTCACACGAGAGATTAACCAGGAAATCTTTGCTGGCTCTCTGGTCTGTCGCTTCAAGTTTCTTTAAGGTTGAGACTTAATGTATGATTTGTTATTTTCTTCTTCCCCATTTTGCTTATTGTTTTATAGTTTGAGGACTGGTTTGAATGGAAACAAAAAGTAAAACATAAAGAAGACTGGTGCATTCAAAAGTATGCTCATTCCTTTCTTAATGAATTGCTGTTCACCTATTGTCACCATGGTTAACTAATGGTTAAGACAAGATAAGTTCATCCTTTATTAATTCCAGCAAAGAAGAATGTCAAAAATAGACATCTGTAAAAGTATTAAAGTTAACATGCAACATAATAATAAGGAAATAAAAAGTATATGTAGGAATGAAATAATATACAGTGTAAACAGAATATATACAGTGGAATAGGATTGCATTGTATGTCACAGAGTGAGTTTATTGTTTATTGTTCTGGGGGCAGCGCTGGTTGTATTTTGCTTGTTTATTTTATATTTGGAAAATGTGAATGATTTCAGTTATGTTCTTTGTTCATAGGTTACAGACTCAGATTGAGGCACGTTGACCGGTGAATGCATAGAGTCAAGAGGGTCAGACTTTGTGACAATAAAGAGGGTATTTGGAAAAGGTACGGTACACCACCTTGGGTTCATGTTACACGTTTTACAAGTTTTCTATTAACCGAATGCATGAATGCAGGAGTGTGTGGGTGTTGGCCCCTCTTACCAGTTGTTTCCAATATCAACATCCAGCTGTGTGGCAGTGAGCATGATGGCTGTGGACGGCCTTTCGGACAGTGCGGAGGTGGTGGAGATGGAGGACGTGCCATCTCAGTTCTTTGTGGAGAAACACTCTTGGGAGGGCCTTCGTGACATTATCCACTGTAGCAGGAAGTACTCTGGCATGATCGCTAACAAGGCCCCCCATGACTTCCAATTTGTGCAGAAGAAGGATGAGAATGGACCTCACTCCCACCGGTTGTATTACCTTGGTAAGCTGATTGATGATGCTGCATAAAATCCTGTTTTTTCTTTGTTCTCCTTTAGCTTCACCTAAGTCCCATTTTTCTGCTTTAGGCAGCACAGTATGATTTCCTCATGACATTAAAACAGTCACTGTGTAGAATTCCTCCTCTTTCAGTTCAAACAAGCTTTTTATTATCTGTTGTCTGATGTTGCTTTTCTATGTACTTACTAGGAATGCCTTATGGGAGCAGAGAGAATTCATTACTCTACTCTGAAATCCCCAAGAAGATCCGTAAAGAGGCCCTCTTAGTGTTGTCCTGGAAACAAATGCTGGATCACTTCCAGGTGAATTCCTCCTCTCTTCCTGTTTGTAAAAAATAGCACAGGGTGAAGTGTCTCAGAAATGGGAGAGATAAGCAGTTAATGTTTTTGAGCAACTGACATATGTTTTGAAGCTCAAAAGATTAAGCGGCCATTTAAGAAAGTATGAGAAGAATGCAGATACTGTACAACCATTACACAGTTATTTGATCTGTAAGGATGGGTCAGTTGAATGTCCTTTTGAACTTTGGTTCGCTGTAAATATCCTGTAAGCACTCTCAAACACATTTACCCTGCAAAAATGTAATGGTAATATTTGATATCTTCTTCTCTCATGTCGGACATTTAAGGCTACACCTCACCAGGGGGCCTACTCTCGAGAGGAGGAGTTGCTGAGGGAGCGTAAACGTTTGGGAGCATTTGGTATAACCTCCTATGACTACCATGCTCAGACGGGCCTGTTCCTCTTCCAGGCCAGCAATAGCCTCTTCTACTGTCAGGATGGAGGCAACAATGGCTTCATTGTGAGTACACTGCTGATTTTTGTTTTGATTTCCCCTTAGTTTATGAACCCCCAGATACTCAGAACAGATTTAATTCAGAGCAAGGTAAAGCTCAAACCTCCACAGTGAACAAATTTGGTGGTACTGGTAGACCGATACATCTGTTAGTGTCTTAACCTAAATCGTTATTTGCCATTTAGGTGGAGGAAAGATATGAATTAGCATCCTCTTGGTAGAGCTGATCTATTGCTGTGATTGTCTTGATAATAGTTTGTGCCTGATTAAATCTATTGTGGTTCCAAGTTGCAAAGAGTTCATATGATTCTCAGTATAGTTTCTTGAGCGTGATTAATGTACAGTTGTTTGCTAACAAGGTGGGGCCACTGGAAAAAATACAATTATTTTCAGCGTTGAATGCACTTTTAATAAAGAAAGATGATCTTTGTTGTTGATCTATCTGCGTTCGCCTTGAAGGAAAACCTTTTGATATATTCTTGGCTTGAATCCCAAGAAGTTGTTTTTTTGGGCAATCGCAGAAGTGCGAGATAAGTTCTGTGGGAATTCATGAACCAATAGTTTAGTTAATTTTCTTGTTTATGACAGTAAAGGATCCGTTACTTGTTATTTCAGTTCATCTTACAGTATGCAGTTGGTTTGAATGTGGGGTACTGATCAGGATGTTTTAATGTAAGAGGTTCATCAAAGCACTGTGCAAAACTTGACACTTGTACATGGTGTTTGTGCCTCTCTCTCTCTCTCTTCTATTGTGTCAGCTTTATGCTGTATATTTCACTGTTTGTGAATCTTGTCCTTCAGATAAAATGAGATGAAATCAAACAAAAATAAATGTTGTGCTTATTTGACAATCTACTAAGGGAGCTGTTGGTCTCTCTTTCCCATGGTTCTGTATTACATCAAACAAAACAATAATTTCAAATCATCATTTTCGGTTGTACCTGGCGTCAGTGAACCTGTCTCCATTGAAGATGCTCTCTTCACCTATATCTTTGGATCCAATGTCCCGCTTCTGTTTCCCCCATGACTAAGATTGTGTCTTTTGGGTTTAGCAGTCTGTTCCTTTAAAGCCTGTGGAGATCAAGACCCAGTGCTCAGGGACACGTATGGACCCCAAGGTCTGCCCCGGAGACCCTGACTTCATAGCCTTCATCAACAACAACGACCTGTGGATAGCCAACATTAAGACTGGCGAGGAGAGGAGACTCACTTACTGCCACAAAGGTCTGAGTCCACTGGCTTTTATTTTAGTTATTTAAAAAGGCAATGAAATGTCATGTGTTCATCAGCTTTGCTTTGTTTGAATTGAGTACATTCTTTAATTCACTGAAGTGCATTCAGTTGCAGAACAACTTATTTAATTTGCTAGTTGATGATTATTCTTGTATCACCATTTCATTCCATATTTTAATGCAAGAAATGTATATGCCATATATTTCAATATCAAGTTGTAATTACGCAGTATTATATAATTTATACCATTTACAATCATACCTGTAAATTCACATGGATGTAAACTTCCTTTGTCCTCATATATTTTCTATCTTTTAGGTGTGGATAATGTGAAGG